TGGTGGCCTTCTCCCCACCACCTCCTCCGTGAGCTGGTAGGCTGAGGAAAAGCACCTGGCATGGCTGTTATCCAACGGGCCGCGCGGTACCCGGCAGAAAGGATTTAGAACATCTATCCGGTGGGAAAGCACGCTTTCTCTTTTCAAAATAACTCGGCTTCTGCGGGATCCAGCGGCTCCTTTCCGATTGCTTTTTAAAGGTTTCAGTCCGGAAGGGAGACCACGTGGGTGGGGATTTGTGCTCTGAGCCATGTTCTGGCTCATTTGTGTGTGACCGGGTGACAGCAGAGGCACTCCACCCCACGGTTTTCTCTCGTCTAAATTTCCATTCCACGACCACGAGATGACTCGCTTCTCACTCCAGTTAAACTTGTCGGGAGTCCAAGGCACTTTGGTCAAAGCCCTTTGCAAAATGAAGTCTGCGTGGAGCCTCTTCCGAAAGAACTGGGGAAATACTCTCCAGTTCAATTCTAGGTGCTGAAACTGACCTACTGCATCCAGTGTTAGGACATGCACTTTTTTTTTTTTTTGCATCGTCATTCTTCTTCGTTTCCTGTCCCCTCCCTTTCACTGCACCCACATATCAAATTCTCTTGTCTCCCCTTTCCCAATCTTCCTAATGCTCATATATTTTAGTGTGTGTAGCTAGGATTCTTAAGCACAGAATGTGTGGTGGGAGGGAGCCTTCCTTGAGGATCCATTCACATTTAGCATGGAGCGGTGGGTGCCCTTTTATCACTCTCCCATACCCCCACCTATGGTCACAAGCTAGAGCTAGAAGGGGCGATTGGTTCCAAATCTTCAAAGTGCAGCTAGGACAAATAAATAACACGGGCGTGGAGGCGGCGGGGGCAGTGGAGAAGTAAACGAATAAAAACCAACTTCTCTGGCAATGTCAATAAATCCGGTAACTGGAGGCAAAGAAAAATATATTCCGAGGGCTGGATCTGGTCCGGATGAAACGCTAAGGCTCCTTCCCATGCCGGAGTCTGGCGCTGGAAACCCGCCACTGGCGCCTTGCCACGCGAGTGCCCCTAGACAACAACACACCCACTGGAAGCGCACGTGAACAAAGCTCTCGCTCCGGGAGCCGTGGCTTGCGATTTCCTATCCGCTCCAGCTTCTCCAAAGAGTGCAGGGCGCACACAGGGTTAAGTTAGTTCCCTCCTCAAGAGGAGGGAAACCTGGAAAGGGGAGGTGGGGGAAGAAGCTGCTAAAGTCGCCGTCTGGGTTCTTGCCGCACATCGCAAACCTGTCTCCGTCACTTGGGAGTTTAGTAGCATCCATTGTCACCGCAGCAGAAGACTAACGCGCGAAGATAACATCCTTTCCAGCTCTCTGCGCCCAGGCGCAGCACAGCTCCTGCGCCGAGGGCGCGCAGAGTGCCTGGTCCAGGATTTGCAGCTGTGGCGCCGCGGCAGTTCGGCTTCAGCCGCCGCCGTGTCCTCTGAGCTCTGGGACCAGGGAGGCGGTTCTCAAAGATGGGCAGGAGGGACCGTGGCGGCGACCCCTAAAACAATACCATGCCCCGGGAGCCCCGCTGCTACCACGCTGTGTTCTTCCCTTTCCACCTCCCCGACCCTGTCGGATTCGGCTGAGCCCTGTGAGAGGAGACGCGGCAGCCAGGTAAAGGGGCTGCGGTGCCAGTTGAAGTTTTCAGCCAACCTCGGGGCTGTGACTACGCTAGAACCACGCTGTCGTGTTAGGGGGAAGCTTTTTCTTTCTTTCTTTGTCCCTCTCCCCACCCCCCCCCTTTTTTTAAAAAAAAATATAATAACCTGCGTCGATGGGGGTACGGGGGTAAAGGGGTCACCCAAGTGGCTTCTTCTAATCTGTTACCCGCTGGAAAAGAAAATATTCTCTCTGCTCTTTCCCGACTTTGGGGACAACTCTGTGCAGGTGGAATCCAGCTGCTTGGAGTTTTTTTTAACTGAGTTTTGGGTCCAAAAGCAAATCACCCGAGCTACTAGAAGCACCGGTCCTAAATTGGGTTTTTCTGGAGTCCCTTAACCTTGCAGGAATGAATCTCTTAACTTCCATGAACATCAACCCTTCCGAACTCCGACCATCTGCTATTAATGACACCAGAGTTATTATCAAGTATCTACAGCCGCCAGCCTCCCCCACCCCCACGCAATCCGGGACTGATTAGCAGCCTAGAAGATGCCGGCTACCATTCCTTTTCCTTTGAGTTTAGCGGGTGGGGGTGGGAGGAGGAACTGGCCTTTCCAAAAGCAGGTCCCACTCTAGTCCTGGGGTCATTGAGCTTGGGACATCTCCCCCTTCTGGCTGCCACCCCGGGTGGCCACGACACGAGAACGCCGCAGGCTGAACCCAGGCTGCTTTCGCTTGCAGTGAGCGTGGGACGTGGGAGGTAGAGAGGGGGCGTTACGTGCGGAACACAGGGGGGAAAGAGAGCGATCGCGTGGCTGAGTAGGGCCCAGCAGGGTCCTCCCTGAAAGATCCGGCCGCCTTGCTGACCAGTCCTGGGCTCGGCGCGGTCACTTAGCCTTCGCAATCAGGTCTGAGATCAAGGTGACCAAGTTGTGATGGGGGCACTCCCGTGGGAAAGGTTCCTGGGACTGTTCGGGCGTTGAAGAAACCAGGAACAATCCCGGAGAGTGTGGGGCTCCCTTTGAGCGGCTGCTGCCACGCACCGGTGGAGGCTGAGGCTACTGATTCTGTGGTTGTAGACGCTGTGTTCTTGGCACCTCCCAGCAAGATGACATTCGCTGCCTGTTCCCCCTCGGATTAGCATCCCCAGCCGTGCCCCTGCTCCCGGGAGAGTTAGTAGTTAGTCACGCTCTGAGTTTGGAGAGAAGACGAGCTGTTTGCGTGTAAGTCAATGCGTTTTCCTCGCCGCCCTTCGCTTAAAGGAGCCGGAACGGCATGCGGCGACCCGGAGTGTGTGCACGCGTGTGTCAGCGCCGGTGTCGGCGTGCGCCTTTGCGCGGGCGTGCGTCTCGGTGGATCTGTGCGCGGTTTGGGAAGCAAAACTGAGCATTAGTCCAAACTGCCTTAACAAAACCCGGGCAGTGGGACGCGCGAAGGTAGCAGACACAACAGGGATGCAAAGGAACTAATAACAATTGGGGAAGTGGTGCCAAGTGAGTCAGGCTTTGAACTGAAGTCAGGGACAGCGGGCGCGCCTGCCTGGAGCGCGTCAGGAAATGATCCCCAGTTTGTCTTGGGCTCCGCCCCATTCTGCTAACACCCAGAGCTGAGCGGATCCCTAGGGTGTCGGTCTTGGGCCGGTTTCAAACTCGCCGTTTGCATCTCTCGGGGCCTCCCGACAGCGGGACTCGGCGCTCCGCAGCGCTTGGCGCGGGCTCGCTCTCCCTCTTCTGTTCGGATCCAGTCTCCGGACTTGTTAAAACATGACAGAAACTTAGTGGAGCCTGGGAGGAGCAGCGAAGAAGTGAGAGAGGAGACGCTGCATCCCCCACCCCCACCCCGTAGAAAGAGTCTCACACCTGATTTTCTTAACATTGCTCTTTAACCTTTGGAAAGAGGAGGAAAAGCAGTCTGCGTACACACGGGGCTTCATTAGCTATCAAGCTTGTTTCTTCAGTCTCGGAGGCCTGAGCTTATTGGTCCGCAGCAACCCATGGGGACACTGAAACGCTCTTTCTGCTAGAAGCCAGGGCTGAAGGCAGAAGAAGGGTGTCGAGATCATCAGGTTAAATTCAGGATTATTTCTCCTATCCTGCCCCACATTAAAGTTGTTCTAAGAAGGCTGGGACTGAGAGAATCAGGGATGGGGCGGGGGAGGGGTGGGGGCACCTCGCTACAATTGCCTGTATTTGAAATAACGCCATTTTGGTTGAGAGGCTTGCTATGTGTTTTTTACTCTCTAATTTTTCATTTCGATCATGTCTCAGTATCCAGGTAATCTCTTGCCTGAAAGTACGATATTGGGCACGCAGGGGGAGCAATGGTGTGTCTTGGCTCGGATGGTGATGGCGTTAATTCCTAAGAGCAAGGGGTAGGTAGTGCAAGCACAGGGTGGAGAGACGGGGGTGGGGTGCTTGCTGGGAGGAGGGAGAGGAAGGCAGGGAGAGAGAGAGAGAAAGAGAGAGAAAGGCGCGCAGGGTCAAGGTGGCTTCAGCAAAGGTTCAGCTCAGGGCGGACAGGGTTAAAAGCCGAGACTGACTTTGCCTCTTCGAAAGCTTTAGGTTGCAGCCGCTCCTCCCAAGCATTCTTTAAACCAGAGAAGTGGGAGGGACTGCGGGAGGGAGGGATAAAGCGAGGGAGGGAGGGAGGGAGAGGGAAAGAGAGGGCTCGAGAAGGGGAGCGCGCCAGAGCGCGAGGGACGGAGGGAGAGGAGGAGCGAGGGAGCGGTGGAGGCCAGCCCGCGAATTCATTACTGTAAACATCTCCCGGGGGTGTCAGGAGGGGCGGGGGCCGCGGCGCCTACTTTAGCCGGACCGCGTCGGCTGGAGGCAGCAGTGTGGTCGGAGCCACCTCCCGACCCGCGCAGGGAGGGCCCTGCACTTGGAGTGAGCCCCGCGCCCGCCCCCGCGCAGTCCGGCGCAGCGCCGCACGCCAGGCTCGGCGCGGTCCGCACACACGCGTCCGAGATCCTCCGTCCCCGAGGAGCCCCGGCGCCACTAGCCCCCACTTCCCAGACTTCTTTGGGGTTCGTGGGCTCTTCGGAGTCAGAGAGGGGGAGGCAGAGGAGGGGAAGGAGGCGGGAATCGCGGCTGCCGGAGCCCAGAGAAAGTGGCATGCCCGAACCCTGGAGACGGAGGTGGCGGAGGACGGGGGAAGAGGATGCCGCGGCTCCGTAGGGGACGTAGGCGAGAGCGCGCGAGGCGAGTGGGGCGCCCCGGCGCCGGCAGACTGCGGGCAAGCGCGCGCCGCTCCGAGGCTCCGGCCTCCGCACCCCTGCGCCCCGACACTGCAGGCGACAGGGCTCCGCTCCAGCAGCCACCACCGCTGCCGCTGTCGTCTCCACCGCCACTGGGAGGACCCGGCAAAAGTTTGGATCTGGGGGAGGGCGCGGCGCTGAGCGGGATTACCACCAGGGCTGGAAGGAGACCTCGAGAACCTTCTCAGGTAACGCCGCCCCCCTCCACCCCCATACCTTGCCCCTCCACTGGGCTCTTCCTCCATCTCTCAGCCTTTCTTGGCACCCTGTCTGACTGAAAGTGCCACGGAGGCGAAGTTCAAGATCCCGGGGCTGGGCGCCTAGCACTGGCAGAGCCACAGCCACGTTAGAGGGGCCCGTGGTGCGTCGCTGCCCGTCTCGGGCCGCTGCGTGGGCAGGCGAGTCCCTCCAGGAGTGCCTGAGAACCCTGAGCTTCAGCTGGCGCCTCGTGCTGCGGCCCTTCTGAAATGTGGAATGCGAATTCGGGGCCTTTCAGTGTTCAGAGAATTGGTGGAGGGACCTCTCGCACCACATGCCCCCCCAACCCTTCCCCAGACTTTAGCATCTTTAAAATTGTAATTTGGCCCTCTTCTCATTCTCCAGCTCCCGGTTAGTTACAGGACGGCGTATTTCGGGGGTGGGGGTGGGGCTGGGGGGGGTGTTGTCAAAATTGCAAGCTAAGGGAAAACATACCCTTGGCTCTTTGGGCATCCCTGGAGTCCTCTCTCCCTCCCACCATTCACATCCTGGCCTCATAAAATAGGAACTTTAGAAGTCACGTTTTCATTGAGAGGTGAGATGAGAGGTGTTATTTTGTGGGTAAGGTGAATTCGGTGTGTGTGTGAGATGGAGCCGCGGTGTTGTGTACAGGCCAGCTTTTCTAGGTGGCCTGAGGCACCCAGAGTGCCCGGGGAGTGAGTGACCCTTGCCTGTGCTTGATGGAGGGTGGTGATGGGGTGGGAAGGGAGCAGCGGAGAAGACAGCAATTCTCTCATGAACAGCCTTAAGATTGAGAAAATCGTCTGCCGCTCACCCTGGTGGCAGAAAGGTTAGAGCCCCGGATGCCCCAACCCCTCTACCGCTCCCCACATCCCCGCGTGGAGTTTTGCTGCTATCATCTTCATGATGATGATCCTTATTTATTCACCTGGGAAGTCATCGCATCTTCCCTTATGAACGGAAAACAGACCCCTCTGAGCTTTTTAAAAATGAATTCTAGTGGAGGGAATCTCTTGCACAGCTTACAGTAAGCTCATCAAGAAAGTGCAAAGCACACATCCGTGTAAATGCTGCTGGAGGAGTGCAAGGTGCTGATTCCTTTACATGCTGCATTTGCTATGCAAAGCCTCTTCTAAATGGGAGCTATTGCTTCCTACTCAGCTGGGAGGCTCTTTAATCACACAGGGTTTCAGGGAGCTTTGGAGCATGTCCACTCGCTCACAGGCTTATTGCCGAATTTATTATGTCTAACTTCCCTCAGCCAGAAGCTAATGTGAAGGCGAGCCTGCATATCGGGCCGATATTGTGTGTGGGTTTAACTGGTATGACCTTATTAAATCTTCAATGAAAGAATCCCCAAAACATTTTGAGGTAAATAGAATGCAGGTTGGTATTTGTCCAAGGATATATTTGGTTGTTGCAGCGTGAATGTGAAATTTTAGGTCAGTATCTGAAGTCTCCTGACTCCATTATTGAATTTTTCAATCACTGAGGCAGGTACACGGGATCGACAAGACACCATATTAGAAAAGAATCAATCTCTGACGGTTACACGTGCCCTGAAAAGTTGCTTTCCATCCCTACAAGGTGATTGCTTCTGAAAATGTAGCTTCTTCATTTCCTCTCTTCCACGAAAGCCTGAAACAGGATAGAATCTAACTATTTAAGGCTATTAATAATCCCAAAGGGCAGTGCAACATCGTGCTGTCCTGTGCAGTTGCAAATGCCTGTGACAGAGGAGGGCATGAGATGAAATTTTAAACCGGAATCCAGGTCTCTGCCTGTAGGTACTAGAAAGTGTAGGGACTTGTAATGTCTGTGCTATAGAAGAGTCTCTTGCAAACCTAGCATGGAAGGAATGGCTTTTTTTTTTTTTCTCCATGTCCTAACACTTTCCCTTGCAGTCTTGGAAATTCCAGAGGATGCTCCTAACAGAGAGAAAGTAGATTTTCAAATAACACGTGCTGGGCTGCTCTGGAGTAGCCAAGGTCGCCTTGGGTTTCCCTCTGTGCTGGGTTTCAGGTGGTGTGATCTTACCAGACTTTGACTTTGATAGGCTAAGTCTGATTTGAACCGTCTCTGATGCCCCTTTCTTTCATATATTCTGGCCTGCTGGAGAGTTTGTTTTAGGATTGAGATGTAGCTCCTTAAAGCAAGCTTCTATTTTCCGAGTTTGAAGCTATGGATTAGAGAAAGGCTGAGCTATGTACCAGACTAGAAGCCCTACTCTGTCTGCAGAGACTGGGGTGAACAGCTCATCTAGTTTAACTCTTCAACTTTGCACTTCACAAGGGAGATCTGCTTCTGCTAACCCGAGTGTCTAAAGCTGAAAACCAGCAAGGGTGCTGGGAAGGATTTAGGCTGTGCTGGGTTGAATCCTAAAAGGTCAAGGTGAAAGAGTATATGTGCAGAACAGCTCTTTCTGGACAGTCATCTTTGGATATCTTTAATTTCAATTCAAGTTCATTTTTCACTAGGTTACTTTAATAACTTTGTGGTTTCTGCCACAGTGATTCAAATCCAGTCCATTAGTGACCTCTATCTGTGAGAAGTGAGCGCTCCTTGTTTTTCTTCTCATCAAGAGAATGCAGATTGTGTCTGTGGGGGAAAAACCCCCACCGGCCCCATAATTCTTTCAGAATATATATATATTTTTTTTTAATAATTTGAGTTTTCTAACACTGAGTTTAGAATGGACAATGAATATTTGACAAGGGCAATAAAACGTTTTGGGCTAATAGACTACCAAAAGGGTATTCTGTATGGTACTCAGCATACATAGAACGCCAGTGCTGTCTGCTGCCACTTAAACAACTGCACAATTGAGTAGACTCTTTTTCCAGATCCTACCATGCTGCTGAACACAAGGGAGAAGTTATTGTCCCTAAGTGCTCAGATAACAAGGGAAACGTGAGACTAGCTCAGAGCGAACATGGGGTAAGTAGACTCTGTCCTGGTAGTGTGCATGTGTCTTTAAATTTAGCTGTGCCTCTCCTGTGAACCACCAGTGCGGATCAAGGACAAGGTGGAGTGTGAGAAAGATATTTATAAACAGATGGTCCTTTTTAAGGAGACTTTAAAAATCTGATTTTTTTTTTTTGGTCCTCTAAATGTGTTCAAATAGAAAATGTAATTTTAGTTGATTATCCTAGAGGCTAATTGACGACAAACTTAACTGAATTTCTTAGGTGGGTGGATACCATTATCTGACATTTTCCAGATGGTTTTTGGAATAGTGGTATTTGAAAATACGGAATGTTTAAATGGTTCTCATTCTTTTTCCCAGTGTGGTTTACCCTCCAAAGATATTTTTAAGACCTATTATTATTGCTATTAATGATAAATAACCAATATAGTACCCTAGGCTATTTTTTTACATTTCCTACCCATCAAAATTTGTTTGCTTTCTGTGAAATTGGGTTCTTCTTGAATTACATGTGTGGGAGAGAATTATTTATATCCTTCTTTTTTTTACTGCTTTCAGTAATAAGTGACCTCCCATTAAGGATCTGTTTATGATAAAACACACACACACACACACACACACACACACACACACACGCCCCAATAGCCATGTTAAAACAGAGATTCTTTTCAAGGTTTTAAGTATGTTCCTTTTTCAAGGGCTATGACACAAATATTGTAATAAAAATATCCTGTGTTCTGACGAATACAGAGACTTACTTCAGCCCCATGGAACAGTAAAACACTGTATTAGCAAAATAATCATTGGTGTTTTGAGTACATGGTTAAAATCTGTTAGAACCTTCATTTTTTTTTTTTCTTGGCGAGTTTCACATCTATGGGTCTTTTGGGTTCTTTGATTCCTTCTACTATGGCTCTTTGAAGTGATTCAAAATTAAACAGTAGCTACTTTTTTTTTTTAAGGGAAATTCATCATGTTATGTTCAGGATTCCAGAAGAGTTAATGATGCAGAAAAAGTCCTGTAAAACATCTTTCTAAAAGAAGCCCTTCTCTTGCAGGCTTCCCACTCACTGGCCTCCTATACCATTTGCAGTGAATTGGAACTCCGTTATTTATTTATTTTTTCAAATACCATCTCTAACTTAATTTAGTGTGGGATATGTTTCTGCAAAAGCGAGCAGAGCCTTGTATCCTGAACAAAGCAGTGTCCTTGTTACTGATGTGTAATAATAAGGGAAGGTCAGAGAAAATATCCTGGCCATAATTTGGGAAGTCAAAAGGCCACATTCGTGGTTCTGAAGCACAGCTCAGTTATTTTGCTAATATGTAATAAGGGTGTACATTTTGGGAAGTTTAGTGGCTAAAGATCTTGCCCGTTTTTCTGGAATAATTCACAAAATAAATTGCTGGAGCTACTAACTCATTAGAACAAGGTCCTGCTGCTTTCTCATTTTCTTCCCAAGGTGCGTTTAAGGGATTGTGCAAGGAACTTGGGAAAGGTCTTCTGTTGTCAGCTCACAGATCTGTTATATTTTAGTTCTATTGATTAGATGGTTCAAAACACAGATAAAAGAACCTGCCCTCCGAACCTTTGAAGAACCAGAGGGTGTTTAGACCTAAACCCATGGAAAAAAAATGTCAGGCCTCAGAATTCTTAAAAGCTGTTGGGATTCAAAGCCCTGCAACTACCTACCTCAGAGAGTGAGAGAACTGTGGCTCCCTAAACCAGCTCAAGAAGATACTGTCGGTTACCCTGGACAGAGGTCATTTGACCAAATGGAAAGCATGAGGCATGTATGAGTACTAAAATAGGTCCACATGCTGGTGTCACTCAGCCTCAGCTGCCCATGGGTGCCATTTTCGTAAGCATCTAGTGTCAGAACGGCCTTAGGAATCGTTTTCTTTTCTCATGTTGCTCTTAAACTTAGATTTCAGTGCTTAGAAGAAGGAAAGGACTCAGGAGATTACAGAGAACACGAGAGGTTTCAGTGAACCGTTATGATAAATGTTGGTCGTAGAACTTCCAGGGAGCTCTGTTTGCCT